CCGGATAACCAACTAATAGATGCTTTATTTTTATTGATTTTTTATTATACCGATTAACCTACGTCAATTTTTAATTAATGGAAATTTGAAAGTACCATATACTGATTTTGACTTTAATCACGCGTCTACGTAACAATGGCACGTCTTAAATATGTAGATCACTAAACCAAAAAGTGTAAGATTTAGTGCAGGCTTTTTAAGTATAAAGATTAGATTTAGTGTAGGCTTTTTATTTACTTGATAATTGATATTAAATACATTTATATAACTAAATTTCGTGCTGAAGATTTTTATTAAAAGCCAAACTGCAAAAATATTATTCCTGATGGTTCGGCAGTACTGATCTTGATTGATTTAAAAAAATCTTTATTTGAGTATTATTCCTGATAGGGTTCTAAAAACAAACTCTAATCTTAACTTTTTTTATATACTTCACTATAGTAGTATAGTATTTTAGAGGCTCTTTTTTAGAACTCTATTAGAGGAACGGTATGTAAATCGATTTTTTTCCTACCCTATCAGGAACAGTACCGACGATTCATCAGGAACAATATTTTTGAGTCACACTGCAGTTGGCGTAGTAAAGTTTTGAGTTTTTTATGGTTTTTATTTCAGATCACATATGATTACAAATGATCCGGTTTTCTGCAACCCGGTTCCAAGCTCTAATACGATTAATGATTAATTCTATGTATAAAATAACAAATATATATATAATTAGATTGGATTAATTCTAAAATTTCACTCAAATTTGATCAAGTTACAATGCTTAAAATAAATCATTAGTAAAAGAGTACTGATCAACGAGTACTAATATGGGGTGCACGAACAATTTATGGTACTTTATCAACCAAAACCACTTGATACTCCTTTCTAACTGAATTAAAGCATTTGATTTTTCTTCCTTCCTAAATATAAAAAAAAAAAATATAAGCAATACAAATGTATGTCATTTCATAAAAAAAAATGTTTTTTTAAACCAACATGCCTGTTGCGCAGTCTTTAATTCTTCGATAGTAATTACGCCAGGAATAATATCGCCAATTTCGATAAGGTACGATCTCATTACACCAGATAGTAATCCTGTTCAATTTGCACATTATTAGTTATAGTAATATAAAAAAAATTGAGATTTTTCTTTTTTAAATAAAATAAATCAATATTTATTATTTATTACCACATTCGATTGCCGGAGTTTTCCAAAATAATTTATTATTATCAAAAAATTCAACGGCAATATTAGAAATAGAACATTCTGTAATTTCACTTCTTTCGTTATACAACAACACGTCTAAGATATCATTTTTGCTGTTTGATCCCGGGATCAAATTTAAGTGCGTCTAAATTGTAAACTTAGTTAATGAATTAAGAAAAGTCATATGGTATTAATACATACACGTCGACGAGCATCATCATAGATTTTCCTATTAGTAGTTTTATGATAAAGAAAAATATTATCGGAAGAAGTGAAAGTTGTGTCCAGGACTATTTTTAATGGTTCTAAAAATGAAATGAAAATAAATGGTTGAAAGTGTTATATAATACTCGTTTACTTTTATCTAGGGTGCCTGGCACGCAAAAAATTTTTTCGCGTTATGTGGCATACCTTTGTCTATAGAGTTTAGACTGTAAGTGTTATATATAGTTTTTTTTTTTTTTTTTTTTTTTTTTTAATGTTATATCAAGTAGCATGTCAGATTGGTTTTAGGTATTCCAGTAATTAAAAATTGACGTAGGTTAATCGGTATAATAAAAAATCAATAAAAATAAAGCATCTATTAGTTGGTTATCCGG